AACTTTTCCAAGTGCGAAGTAACCTCCACCAACCAGCACATAATAGAGCTAATAAAGGTTGTTTTGCCTGATATTCATTTTACCAACACTGAGGACAGCACACTTCTAGGAGCCCCTCTTGGAGAGAATGCCATTGACGAGGTCCTTGGTAAGAAGATCACTGACGTGAAGAGGATGAATGAGAGGATTGAAAACAATCCTCTTTCAATAATATTAGATTAAAAGAGTACGACAGCCTGCTGAAATCAATGCTAGAAAAAGCCCTCAACCTTTCTTTCAGCGACTCACAGTGGAAACCAGGCTTCCTGTCAGACTCGGGGGCCTCGGCTGTACCAGCGTTCCTGTCCTCTTCAGTGGCATCTGACAACCTGGTGAAGGAAATCCTACCCGAGTACCTAGTTCAACAGGCAGTCGTACACGATCACAGCTTTACGGCCTGCACAACCAAATGGGTCACACTGTCCCTGTCACTGTTGCCACACTGTCCCTGTCACTGTTGCCACACTGTTCCTGTCACTGTTGCCACACTGTCCCTGTCACTGTTGCCACACTGTCCCTGTCACTGTTGCCACACTGTCCCTGTCACTGTTGCCACACTGTCCCTGTCACTGTTGCCACACTGTCCCTGTCACTGTTGCCCCACTGTCCCTGTCACTGTTGCCACACTGTCACTGTTGCCACACTGTCCCTGTTACTGTTGCCACACTGTCCCTGTCACTGTTGCCACACTGTCCCTGTCACTGTTGCCACACTGTCCCTGTCACTGTTGCCACACTGTCCCTGTCACTGTTGCCACACTGTCCCTGTCACTGTTGCCACACTGTCCCTGTTACTGTTGCCACACTGCCCCTGTTACTGTTGCCACACTGTCCCTGTTACTGTTGCCACACTGTCCCTGTTACTGTTGTCACACTGTCCCTGTCACTGTTGCCACACTGTCCCTGTCACTGTTGCCACACTGTCCCTGTCACTGTTGCCACACTGTCCCTGTTACTGTTGCCACACTGTCCCTGTCACTGTTGCCACACTGTCCCTGTTTACTGTTTCACACTGTCCCTGTCACTGTTGCCACACTGTCCCTGTCACTGTTGCCACACTGTCCCTGTCACTGTTGCCACACTGTCCCTGTCACTGTTGCCACACTGTCCCTGTCACTGTTGCCACACTGTCCCTGTCACTGTTGCCACACTGTCCCTGTCACTGTTGCCACACTGTCACTGTTGCCACACTGTCCCTGTTACTGTTGCCACACTGTCCCTGTCACTGTTGCCACACTGTCCCTGTCACTGTTGCCACACTGTCCCTGTCACTGTTGCCACACTGTCCCTGTCACTGTTGCCACACTGTCCCTGTTTCCACACTGTCCCTGTCACTGTTGCCACACTGTCCCTGTCACTGTTGCCACACTGTCCCTGTCACTGTTGCCACACTGTCCCTGTTACTGTTGCCACACTGTCCCTGTTACTGTTGCCACACTGTCCCTGTCACTGTTGCCACACTGTCCCTGTTACTGTTGCCACACTGTCCCTGTCACTGTTGCCACACTGTCCCTGTCACTGTTGCCACACTGTCCCTGTCACTGTTGCCACACTGTCCCTGTTACTGTTGCCACACTGTCCCTGTTACTGTTGCCACACTGTCCCTGTCACTGTTGCCACACTGTCCCTGTGTTATTATTTATAATAATAATAATAATAATAATAATAATAATAATAATATTTATTATTATTATTATTATTATTATTATTATTATTATAAAAAATAAATAATATATATAAATTTGGAGGATGTTAGTGTTATTATATTGATTAATACAATGATCACTATAGATCACTACAGATTATACCAGTATAATGGTGATGACTACGATTCACTGCAGGCAGCGTCACCATCAATTATCAACACCATTCACACACGTAGAGTTCACCTTCCCTTCACCTTCAGAGAAGATGTGAAGTTGACTGAACCGAAATTACTATACTGTAGTGTGTGAGTGTGGGGGGAGGGGGGGTTAGGAGAGGAGAGAGGATAAATTATGATGAAAGGAGAGAGGGGAGAGAGAGGGGGAGTGGATGAGAAAATGGGTATAGAGCAAGAGGATTAGAGATAGAGGGAAAAGTGCCATGGAGGGAGGAGGGAGGGAGGGAGGGAGGGAGAGAGAGAGAGAGAGAGAGAGAGAGAGAGAGAGAGAGAGAGAGAGAGAGAGAGAGAGAGAGAGAGGAGAGAGAGAGAGAGAGAGAGAGAGAGAGAGAGAGAGAGAGAGAGAGAGAGAGAGAGAGAGAGAGAGAGAGAGAGAGAGAGAGAGAGAGAGAGAGAGATAGAGAGAGAGAGAGAGAGAGAGAGAGAGGAGAGAGAGAGAGAGAGAGAGAGAGAGAGAGAGAGAGAGAGAGAGAGAGAGAGAAGAGAGAGAGAGAGAGAGAGAGAGAGAGAGAGAGAGAGAGAGAGAGAGAGAGAGAGAGAGAGATAGAGAGAGGAGAGAGAGAGAGAGAGAGAGAGAGAGAGAGAGAGAGAGAGAGAGAGAGAGAGAGAGAGAGAGAGAATGAATGGGGGGAGTAAGAAAACCGTGTGAGGCGTGAATAAAATGTGTATGAGTACTCACCTAGTTGGGGGGTTTAGCTCTAGCTCTTTGGTCCCGCCTACCAACTGTCGTCAATCAACAGGTGTACAGATTCCTGAGCCTACTGGGCTCTATCATATCTACATTTGAAACTGTGTATGGAGTCAGCCTCCACCACATCACTTCCTAGTGCATTCCATTTATTAACTACTCTGACACTGAAAAAATTCTTTCTAACGTCTCTGTGGCTCATCTGGGTACTAAGTTTCCACCTGTGTCCCCCTTGTTCGTGTCCCACCCGTGCTGAAGAGTTTGTCTTTGTCCACCCTGTCAATTCCCCTGAGAATTTTGTAGGTAGTTATCATGTCTCCCCTTACTCTTCTGTTTTCCAGGGATGTGAGGTTCAGCTCCTTTAGCCTTTCCTCGTAGCTCAATCCTCTCGGTTCCGGGACGAGCCTGGTGGCATACCGCTGAATCTTCTCTAACTTTGTCTTGTGTTTAACTAGGTATGGACTCCAGGCTGGAGCTGCATACTCCAGGATTGGTCTTACATAATTGGTATACAGGGTTCTGAAAGATTCCTTACACAAGTTTCTGAAGGCAGTTCTTATGTTGGGCCATCTAGCATATGCCGCTGATGATATTCTTTTGATGTGGGCCTCTGGGGACAGGTTCGGGTGTGATATCAACCCCCAGATCCTTCTCTCTATTTGACTCTTGCAGGATTTCCCCTCCCAGATGATACCTTGTGTTCAGCCTCCTGCTCCCTTCGCCTAATTTCATCACCTTACACTTTTCTGAGTTGAACTTTAGCAGCCATTTTCTAGACCATTCCTCCAGTTTGTGTCCAGGTCATCCTGTAGTCTCTGTCTATCTTCATCCGTCTTGATTCTTCTCATAATTTTTTGCATCATCAGCAAACATTGAGAGGAATGAGTCTATAACCCTCTGGAAGATCGTTCACATATATTAGAAACAGGATGGTCCAAGTACTGAGCCCTGTGTGTGTGTGTGTGTGTGTGTGTGTGTGTGTGTGTGTGTGTGTGTGTGTGTGTGTGTGTGTGTGTGTGTGTGTGTGTGTGTGTGTGTGTGTGTGTGTACAACACCATGGGTGTAATAACCATGTCCCCCCAGACGGAGGTAGCAGCCAGGTGTGTGCTCCTCCCTCTTTTATCTCATTCCTCTCCAGTCTTTCTTCTTTCATTCCTCCCTTTCTCTCTCTCTATCCCTTTTCCTCACACTCTTCTTTCTAACACCGGGACAGGGTTATTAGTGTGGGTGGTGGTGGTAATGGTGGTTGTTGTAGTTGTGGTGGTGGTGGCAGTGGTAGTAGTGGTGGTGATGATAGTGAGGGTGGTGGTGACCATGACAACAGTGCTGGAGGTCGGGCATTATGTGGTCTCAGTGACAATGATACAATGCACTTTTTTCCCCGTCGTGGTATTGGCTATACAAAACGCCCACAGACCGAGGCTATAGCTGCATGAGCCCCTCTGTGGTTCCTGTGTGTCGTCAGTGTTGTGGTGGGGGAGAAGGTGGGGGTGAGGTGGGGGAGAAGGTGGGGGTGAGGTGGGGGAGAAGGTGGGGTGGAGGGCACGGGGGGGGGTTAACCCCATCTTAGAGTCTGGACTTACTATCACAGCTATATAGTCGTAATGGCTTGGGTGCCTTCCCCTGATAATTCAATTCAATATCACCTAGTGAGACAGGTCCGCAGATGTTCACCTGGCTTATCTCAGATAGTGCAACTGGGGAGTGAGAACGCATGAGAGATAAGGAGCGTGAGAAACTGTACGAAACTGCAAGTGTGAGAACGTGTGAGTGTGTGAGACACTGCTAGTGTGTGTGTGTGTGAGATTTCTCTTTGTTGCTTGATTAAAATAAATTCTTCTGGAGCTGCAAAAATAAATATATGACCGCCAATATAAATAACATAAAAATATACACGATAAAGTAAGTAATTATCAGAAAAGATGCCAAGCCGTGACGAATATGTAGCATTATTTGTGTAAAGGAGGCAATGTATATGTTTATCTCTCAGAACGTTCGGTAATACGTTTATTGCTTGTGATGTATGTCTATGTATGTATTAACACGATGTACTGAACGGGGTGAGAATAGCTTGAGCTACCTCATCCCTTTGTGTGTATTTTACCTCAATAAACTTATTTCAATTTCAATTTCAATATGTAGCATACGTGATGATAAGAGAAGCCATGCAAAGAATCATGGGAAAATTAATCAGAAACTAATGTCATTTCAGAATATTGAACTACCAACACAAATCCTCAGTATAAACCAAACAACTATATATGAGTTGTTTCTCTAATAGTGTTAGAGGATGACATCCATCTCACTAAAGCGAAGTTATTATAAATCTAAATATATAAATCTAAATCTAAATATATCTTTATGTAAATATAAAGTTATATAAATCTGAAAGAAAAAAAACTTTCACCTAGCAGGGTCAAAGAAACCAGTTGATATTCCAGCAGTATTAGAATTTGTGGCCAGTATAAGCAGAGAAAGTATAAGCAGAGAAAGTATAAGCAGAGAAAGCAGAGAAAGTATAAGCAGAGAAAGCAGAGAAAGTATAAGCAGAGAAAGCAGAGAAAGTATAAGCAGAGAAAGCAGAGAAAGTATAAGCAGAGAAAGCAGAGAAAGTATAAGCAGAGAAAGCAGAGAAAGTATAAGCAGAGAAAGTATAAGCAGAGAAAGCAGAGAAAGTATAAGCAGAGAAAGCAGAGAAAGTATAAGCAGAGAAAGCAGAGAAAGTATAAGCAGAGAAAGCAGAGAAAGTATAAGCAGAGAAAGCAGAGAAAGTATAAGCAGAGAAAGCAGAGAAAGTATAAGCAGAGAAAGCAAAGAAAGTATAAGCAGAGAAAGCAGAGAAAGTATAAGCAGAGGAAAGAAAATTGTAAATGTTATAAAAGATGAATATGAAGAGGTGCAAGTGTGAGCTAGTGTGTGAAACTGTGAGAGTCTGGGAGGGTAATTGAAAGGGGAAAAGTGTGTAGAGTGTGAGGGGGGGGGAGTGTAGGGAACAGTGTAGGGAAGTAAGAAGTGTGAGAGTGGCAGGGAGGGGGGGGGGAGTGCGTATGAGTTCAGGAGAGCCAAGGAGTGTGTGTGAGAGAGATTAGGGAAGAGTGTGTGAGAGGGAGTGAGAGAGTGGGAGAGGGAGGGAGAGAGCTCTGAACCCAGCCACCAAGTAACGGGACCTGACCACAGTGCTGGGATCCTGTCCGAACAGAAACTGATGCCCCGTTAACGGTAAAAAGCTTTCAAATGGGGTTCAAAGTTCTCTGTTTAGAGGATGAGGTCTAAAAAAGAGGTCTAAAAGAGCTCTAAAATGTCCCGTTATAAGGACGAGGTTAACGAGATTTGTTCAGTATACTGAAGTTCGTTTAGAAAGCTTCGACAAAGACGAAAGGTCGCTCAAGAGATTCAGAAACGTACAAAATACGGGTTTAATACTTGATGCTAAAGGTAAAAGCCTCAGGGGAAAAAAAAAGAGTACATAATTTTCTGATGATAAGTTAAGTTCATGGTCGCTCTCTCTCTCTCTCTCTCTCTCTCTCTCTCTCTCTCTCTCTCGCCAGATCTCATCTCTGCTCTCTCTCGTCCTCTCTCTCTCTCTCTCTCGTATCCTCTCTGTCTCTCTCTCTCTCTCTCTCTCTCTCTCTCGTCTCGCTCGCCTCTCTCATCTCTCTTACAGATCCTCTCTCTCTCTCAGTCTCTCCTCTCTCTCTCTCTCGCTTCTCGTCTCAAAGTCGCAGATCTCAAAAAAGAAAAAACCTCTCTTCACTCTTTATATGGAAAAGATCCCAGGGCAAAAACTAAAAAAACATTAGTGCTAAATAGTATCTCTATCATATATTCTTATTCTCGTTTCATCTGGATCTCTCAACTGCTTCTCGTCCGTCTCACTGTCTCACATTCTTCCATCAGTCCATGTATTCTCTCGTCTTTTGCAAAAATATGATAAGATTGTAAATAGATATGTAACAGTTTACTGGAATAAACTGGTCTCCATGTTGTCCTGAATAAATTAAGAACGAGGACCAGGTCTGATTTTTATTTCGTAAACAATTTGGTTTAACTTTAATTTACTCCAAACATTTTTTTATTTTTATTTAATTTGAAAAAAATGACACTAAACTCTTTTATTTTGCAGCGGGGTATATATTTTTTTTTACTGTATTCCCAATCACAAAATCTTTGAATTATGAGCATTAAAAAGTACTCCAACCCTCAGCCCCCATACAAAAAAATATCATTCACTTTCCACCCCATGAAAACATAATATACTACACATACTATACTAAATATATACAATATACTAAACATAAATACTACACATAAACACCACCCCCCATACACATATTTTATTTCTTAATGAATTAATGCGCGATAAATTACAATCACAACCCTTGTAATTGCAGCTAATTCCACCACTGAATTTGTTACGTAACAACCAAAACATTAAACACAGAACAGCAGCAATAACCCAAGAGGCGGAAAAGCACGTCTCGTTTACACAAACAACTCATCAAGGTAGACACAACACACGTGAAATCCTCCCCCCCCCCCGTCCCCCCCCCCCACGAAAAAAGGAGAAGTTTCAGAGGTACAATAAAATCGTGACCAGCGCACGACTGGTCTGTGTTTACGTTTAGGGGGAAGAGACACAAGGAAGATTGTGAGATTTACACAAGCTGAGTAAATCATGATCAATAGTTAAACCGGAGAGCACCGCGAAAACAGGAATAAATTATGGAAGAGTATGGCAGTGAAGAGGAGGAAAGAGGACTTGAGAGAATGGAGAGAGAGAGAGAGAGAGCGAGAGGAGGCGGAGAGAGAGCCGGGAGGAAGAGAGCTGGGGAATGGGAGAGGAAGAGAGAGAGAGAGGGAGAGAGAGAGAGAGAGAGAGGAGAGGGGAGGAGAGAGAGGAGAGAGAGAGAGAGGAGAGAGAGAGAGAGAGAGAGGGGGAGAGAGGAGAGGGAGGGAGAGAGAGGGAGAGAGGAAGGAGAAGAGAGGGAGAGAGAGAGCGATGAGAAGAGAGGGGAAGAGGAGAGGGAGAAGAGAGAGAGAGAGAGAGAGAGAGAGGAGAGAGAGAGAGAGAGAGGAGATAGAGAGAGAGAGAGAGAGAGAGAGAGAGAGAGAGAGAGAGAGAGAGAGAGAGAGAGAGAGAGAGAGAGGAGAGAGAGAGAGAGAGAGAGAGGGAGAGGAGAGAGAGAAGAGTAATATAATTTACAGGACAGAAGGAAAGGAAGGAAGGAAGAATAGGTGATTGTCTCTATAGTTCTGTGTTTCTTTGTCTCCATCTATCTTATTCCTACTTGTCACCCACCCTTTCCCTCCCCCCCTCCCCTCTCTCTCTCTCTCTCTCTCTCTCTCTCTCTCTCTCTCTCTCTCTCTCTCTCTCTCTCTCTCTCTCTCTCTCTCTCTCTCTCTCTCTCTCTCTCTCATTTTGTTTTCACGTCAGTTTGAAAATGAAGTCACGATAATTCCAGGAAACCTCCGCTTGAGACAACTCCTTTACTAGTACTGGATGGATCACTCATTCTAGGAAGAGGGAGGTGGATGGGGAGAGAGGAAAGAGAAGGAGGGAGAGCTGAAATACAGAGGAGGTAGGAGACTAAAAATGGAGACCAACAGAGAAAAAAACTATGGTATAGGGAAAGTTAGAAAGGAGAGAAGGACTTGTTACAAAGGAGAGATACGAGAGAAGAAAACGATAAATTAAAGAGAGAAAGAGGGTATTAAAAGTGGCGGAGGTAGATAGGAGAGGGGGGGGGGTGAAGGGGGGAGGGGGAGGTGTCAGTTGGCGGGAAAGAGAGGTGGGACGCGCCGGGAAAAATCCCAAATGGAAAAGCCAAAATTGTAATAATACTTAACCCACGTGGACGTACACGGACACGTACGCGTGATCGTTCTTGCTCGCATACACGTGCCTGAACCTGGCCCCAAAAAATCATGAAGTGTTTTAAATCATTGAAGATACTGAATATATGCTGTCGTCGAGGAGAGACTCCTTTGTCTTTTTTGGGAGTCCTGAAGGGACTCCCTTCTCAGGACTCCCTTCCAAGCACTTGGCCTGGACGGTAGAGCGACGGCCTCGCTTCTTGCCGGTCGGCGTTCAATCCCCGACCGTCCAAGTACTTGGGCACAATTCATTTCCCCCCCCCCGTCCCATCCCAAATCATTATCCTCATCTCTTCCAAGTTCTATATAGTCGTAATGGCTTAGTGCTATTTCCTGATAATTACCTTACCTCCCTGGTCCCCACGCTGCCATATTTCCTCTTCGCAGAGTCTAAGTCACAATAACCTGACAGAAACAAACAACCCAACACACACACGTGACAAAAGTGACGACGTTTGACTCCGTGATGAATTCTTGGCAACTGGCGACGCAGCAAGACTGGGGACAGGTGACATATATTACCATAGATTTGGGTACTTAAAAAAGTACCCAGGGTACCTTTCGTGCTCTCTCTCTCTCTCTCTCTCTCTCTCTCTCTCTCTCTCTCTCTCTCGGTTACTACATTGTCCAACTGCAAAATAAATTTTCCTTGTGCGAAGTTTCAAAGGAAAACGAAAATAAACAGCAAAATTGAACGACTGGGGTGACACAAAATCAAGAAGAAGACGGCTGCTGCCACAATGTTTCCCACATCAGTTTCTACAGGACTTTTTTTTTTATGAAAATTCATAAGCGTTATTAATTTCAATAAAAAAATAAGAAGTAGTCTCGTTATCTAAAAACACTTAAACAAAAGTATTAAAACTTAAAAAGTGGTTTGGAAAAAAATCAAAATATAGAGCCTATTGTCAACAGAAATATATTTTTTGTGTGCACTGGAGCATTTACAAAAACATTTTAACGATTTTGAAGGACCCAGTGAGAGATACTCACTAAAAAATCAACATCCTTCAATAAAAAATATTAAAAAATAAATCATTCTTAAACCTGCCAGAAAAAGGTAAGAAGGCTGAACATTCATAGAGTAAATTATATTATTGTAAAGCCTATACGTGTGAGTATTAAAGAGGCTTACTAAGACAAATGTTTATATATATATTAGTATATTTTGGTAGCAGTCTTTCCTGTAGACATATATTATTAAATATGACCGAAAAAGTAAGATTAATAATTCTAACACGAATTTTCTCAATCTTTCGTACATTTCTTTTCACTGTTGGTGGTAATTCAAAAATCAATTCTCCAAAATTCATTTTTATTTCTAGTCTGACGCGACACTTGAGCGCGTTTCGTAAAACTTATTACATTTTCAAAGACTTTAGTTTACACATACACAACTGAATAGAACTTACACATCTCCGATTTGTTTATATCTACATTTGAGTGAGGTGGATGGGGTGAGGTGGTATTAATAGGGTATTAATTTCATCAACACAAGACAGAACACGAAACAATGGGTATTGAATGGAAGTGATTGTAGAAAGCCTATTGGTCCATATTTCTTGATGCTTCTATATTGGAGCGGAGTCTTGAGGTGGGTAGAATATAGTTGTGCATTAATTGGCTGTTGATTGCTGGTGTTGACTTCTTAATGTGTAGTGCCTCGCAAACGTCAAGCCGCCTGCTATCGCTGTATCTATCGATGATTTCTGTAAATCATCGATGATTTCTGTAAATCATCGATAGATACAGCGATAGCAGGCGGCTTGACGTTTGCGAGGCACTACACATTAAAAAGTCAACACCAGCAATCAACAGCCAATTAATGCACAACTATATTCTACCCACCTCAAGACTCCGCTCCAATATAGAAGCATCAAGAAATATGGACCAATAGGCTTTCTCCAATCACTTCCATTCAATACCCATTGTTTCGTGTTCTGTCTTGTGTTGATGAAATTAATACCCTATTAATACCACCTCACTCAAATGTAGATATAAACAAATCGGAGATGTGTAAGTTCTATTCAGTTGTGTATGTGTAAACTAAAGTCTTTGAAAATGTAATTAGTTTTACGAAACGCGCTCAAGTGTCGCGTCAGACTAGATATAAAAATGAATTTTGGAGAATTGATTTTTGAATTACCACCAACAGTGAAAAGAAATGTACGAAAGATTGAGAAAATTCGTGTTAGAATTATTAATCTTACTTTTTCGGTCATATTTAATAATATATATATATATATATATATATATATATGTATATATATTGACATTCAAACCCTTTCCATTATTACAGTATAAAAGAGAATATATCTGCGTGTCTGTCCAGAGGTGGAGGCCAGATGCTTAAGGCTAGCCTCACCCAAATTGACAATAGGAACGGTCTGGGGTTCGGGATGATCATAGGCTTTTCGAGGTCGCCAGAATTCAAAAGAGAACACCGTGCCAGGGTCACATTCACACCCCCACGACGACTGTTGCCCGCCGGCTACACAGCTAAATATTTTGAGAATAAACATTTCAGTTTGGTGATGCTAACATACAACATTATTCACTGATCTCGGGAAAGTTTACAGAAATTTTCTGCTATCCATAATTTGCTCAATACATCCATCTATCTATCTATTCATCTATTCATCCATCTAACTTTCCTATCCATCAATCTACATTTCTATCCATCAGCCTATCCAGGTATCTATCCTTCATCTATCTATCCCTCCATGTACTCATCTATCTATTCATCTATCCATCCATATATTTATTCGTCCATCCATTCATCCATCCATCTATCGGGCTATGAATCTGTGTCTATTTCTACCTCTGTCTCTTTTTGCCTGTCTATTTCTACCTCTGTCTCTTTTTGCCTGTCTATTTCTCTGTCTCAATCTGTTTATGTCTGTCTTTCTCTCTCTGTCTTTGTCTCTCATAAAAAATATAATTGTCTGCCATTGTTGTGTGGTGGCCGCCGGTGGGAAGAGTTTAGCAGTGAGAAATATTAAAAATACAATACTTTTCCCCATTTACGTTGAGAAAGTAGAGAGAGAGAGGCTTGAGTCACCCTTGAAGTGAACAAATCCACAAGGGCCGTAACGAGGATTCGAACCTGCTTCCGAGAGCATCCCAGACGCTGCCTTAATCGACTGAGCTACGACATTCATTTGATGCATCACGCAATTGTGATTTCTGTGTGCACCCTTGAAGTAGTTGGAGGACCGTCTGTTTTATGCGACTCCGGGCAAATTGTGGCTAGCTGGAAATTTCTGTTAATTTTAGCCGGGGAGCCTGCCGGCAGTGCCAAAAAATGTGATGGTGGTGGTTGAGGTCTGAAAGTGACCGCTGGCACGCTGTTTATTTTGGAAATCTGGCGACCCTGGACCGCCTATGTTCATCCCAGACCCCAGACCATTCCCTCTGTCAATTTGGGTTAGGCTAGGCCCAAACATCTGACCACCAACTTTGGGTGATTAGACTGACGACTTGGAAGAGTGACAAGTGAATAGAGTGATGAGCCAGGTTGCTTTTACCATGTCGTGGTGTTGTGGTCTCTCACACACACACACACACACACACACACACACACACACACACACACACACACACACACACACACACACACACACACACACACACACACACACACGGAAGTGAGCTTGCGAGGTTAATGTAATGTCACAAGACTGAGTGATGAATGGGAAGCCGATAAAGATGGGAAGGATGGATGAGGGAAGAAGGAAGGAGTTATGGCTGAAGATGGAAAAAGATAAGCAATAGACACACACCACAATCACCAGTCACCACAATCACCAGCACCAGTCACCACAATCACCATCACCAGTCACCACAATCACTAACACAACATTCACTACCACCAACATCACACACTCTTCACCAACAGGCAAAAATGGATAGGAAACACAAAAGGAAGGAGAGAAGGGAAGAAGAGACAACGGAAGAGGAGATATAGCGTCAAAGAGTTAAAAAAAAGAAGGAAACAAAAAATGTAAGAGGTAAAATGATTAAGAAAAGTGTGAAGAAGAAGAAGAAGAAGAAGAAGAAGAACTAAGCATAATGATGATAACGTGAAGGACTCAAGGAGAGGTGCCCTTGACCACCCGACATTCCCCCTGGAAAATGAAGGACTATCTACACCCATGACCATCATTCCCCAAGGTCCTCCCAGCCCTCCTTCATCGTCAGGTTACCTGGGCTATTATTTCCGTGTTGACAGAACACATGAGAAAAGGCTTCCAGCAGGTGTTAGTACACAAGACCAGGAAGATTACCTTCACAGCCTCCAGAGGTGTAGTCTCTGGGATGCCAGAATCAAAATATTTCCAGGTTTCCAGAGTTAATGACATTGGCGTGTAAAACTATGTTGTTTTTTTATTTTTGTGAATACCAGAATACTCAGTTTCGATGTTTTGGGTACAGGTTTCAATTAATTCAGGTTTTCGTGCAATTCAGGTTTCAAAACCTGAACAATTCACGTTTCTGTGCAATTTCATCACTGTCAACTTCGTTAGTGCTAATAGCATCATCACCAGTATCATCAATGCTTCTAGCTCCACCACCAGCATCATCAATGCTTCTAGCCCCACCACCAGCATCATCAGTGCTTCTAGCACCACCACCAGCATCATCAGTGCTTCTAATGCCACCACCAGCATCATCAGTGCTTCTAATGCCACCACCAGCATCATCAGTGCTTCTAATGCCACCACCAGCATCATCAATACTTCTAGTACCACCACCAGTATCATCAATACTTCTAATGCCACCACCAGCATCATCAATGCTTCTAATGCCACCACCAGCATCATCAATGCTTCTAGTACCACCACCAGTATCATCAATACTTCTAATGCCACCACCAGCATCATCAGTGCTTCTAATGCCACCACCAGCATCATCAGTGCTTCTAATGCCACCACCAGCATCATCAGTGCTTCTAATGCCACCACCAGCATCATCAGTGCTTCTAATGCCACCACCAGCATCATCAGTGCTTCTAATGCCACCACCAGCATCATCAGTGCTTCTAATGCCACCACCAGCATCATCAGTGCTTCTAATGCCACCACCAGCATCATCAGTGCTTCTAATGCCACCACCAGCATCATCAGTGCTTCTAATGCCACCACCAGCATCATCAGTGCTTCTAATGCCACCACCAGCATCATCAGTGCTTCTAATGCCACCACCAGCATCATCAGTGCTTCTAATGCCACCACCAGCATCATCAGTGCTTCTAATGCCACCACCAGCATCATCAGTGCTTCTAATGCCACCACCAGCATCATCAATGCTTCTAGCACCACAACCAGTATCATCAATGCTTTTAGCACCACCACCAGTATCATCAATGCTTCTAGTACCAGCACCAGTATCATCAATGCTTCCAGTACCACCACCAGTATCATCAATGCTTCTAGTACCACCACCAGCATCATCAATGCTTCTAGTGCCACCACTAGCATCATCAATGCTTCCAGTGCCACCACCAGTATCATCAATGCTTCCAGTGCCACCACCAGTATCATCAATGCTTCCAGTACCACCACCAGTATCATCAATGCTTCTAGTACCACCACCAGCATCATCAATGCTTCTAGTGCCACCACTAGCATCATCAATGCTTCCAGTGCCACCACCAGTATCATCAATGCTTCCAGTGCCACCACCAGCATCATCAATGCTTCTAGTGCCACCACCAGTGTCATCAATGCTGCCAGTGCCACCACCCAACATCATCAATGCTTCATCAACAGAACTACATTCAACATCACCAGCACCCCTTGCACCATCACAAAGTTTCAGTCACCATCACAACAGTGACTAGCACTGTCACAAGTCACTAGCACTTCATAACAGTCACAATCACTGCACAACAGTCACCACCACCACCACCACAGTCACTATCACCACTACCAGCACCTGTCACCACCACCAGATTAAACAGACAATGCAGTATATATATAATATATATATATATATATATATATATATATATATATATATATATATATATATATATATATATATATATATATATATATATATAATATAAAACTAAGTGCATGCGGTGATATATAAATCTTTACTGAACACTTGTGTTCTCAACAATTACGTCTCGTTACAGTGTATATATAAAACAAGTTATCGTATTGAATTGTCTTACGATATCATTTATTGAATAAAATTATGTTAAAAAGAGTGATTTTGTCAGTGAAGTTATTGAAGACAATTCCAGGGGGTTAATATGTGATAACAACATTGCTGGGAATATGAAGCCTTGCAGAGAGAATATTTGCAGCGCCCTGGTGATGGTGGTGGTGATGGTGATGGTGGTGGTGGTGGTGATGGTGTTGGTGGCGGTGATGGTGGTGGTGATGGTGATGGCGATGGTGGTGGTGGTGGTGATGGTGGCGGTGATGGTGATGGTGGCGGTGATGGTGGCGGTGATGGTGGTGGTGATGGTGATGGTGGCGGTGATGGTGGCGGTGATGGTGATGGTGGCGGTGATGGTGGTGGTGATGGTGATGGTGGCGGTGATGGTGGTGGTGATGGTGGTGGTGATGGTGATGGTGGCGGTGATGGTGGTGGTGATGGTGATCGTGACGGTGATGATGGCGGTGATGGTGGTGGTGATGGTGATGGTGATGGTGGCGGTGATGGTGATTGTGGCGGTGATGGTGGTGGTGATGGTGATGGTGGCGGTGATGGTGGTGGTGATGGTGGTGGTAATGGTGGCGGTGATGGTGATGGTGATGGTGATGGTGGTGGTGGTGGTGATGGTGGTGGTGATGGTGATGGTGATGGTGGCGGTGATGGTGGTGGTGATGGTGATGGTGGTGGTGGTGGTGATGGTGGCGGTGATGGTGGTGGTGATGGTGATGGTGGCGGTGATGGTGGTGGTGATGGTGATGGTGGCGGTGATGGTGGTGGTGATGGTGGTGGTGATGGTGGCGGTGATGGTGATGGTGATGGTGGCGGTGATGGTGGCGGTGATGGTGATGGTGATGGTGATGGTGGCGGTGATGGTGATGGTGATGGTGATGGTGGCGGTGATGGTGGTGGTGATGGTGGTGGTGATGGTGGCGGTGATGGTGATGGTGATGGTGATGGTGGTGGTGATGGTGGTGGTGATGGTGATGGTGATGGTGGCGGTGATGGTGATGGTGGCGGTGATGGTGATGGTGATGGTGGCGGTGATGGTGGTGGTGATGGTGATGGTGATGGTGGCGGTGATGGTGATGGTGATGGTGATTGTGGCGGTGATGGTGGTGGTGATGGTGATGGTGGCGGTGATGGTGGTGGTGATGGTGATGGTGGCGGTGATGGTGGTGGTGATGGTGATGGTGGCGGTGATGGTGGTGGTGATGGTGGTGGTGATGGTGGCGGTGATGGTGATGGTGATGGTGGTGGTGATGGTGGTGGTGATGGTGATGGTGGCGGTGATGGTGGTGGTGATGGTGATGGTGGTGGTGGTGGTGATGGTGGCGGTGATGGTGGTGGTGATGGTGATGGTGGCGGTGATGGTGGTGGTGATGGTGATGGTGGCGGTGAAGGTGGTGGTGATGTGGTGGTGATGGTGGCGGTGGTGGATGGTGGTGATGGTGATGGTGGGGTGATGGTGGTGGTGATGGTGATGGTGGGCGGTGATGGTGGCGGTGATGGTGATGGTGATGGTGATGGTGGCGGTGATGGTGGCGGTGATGGTGATGGTGGCGGTGATGGTGGCGGTGATGGTGATGGTGATGGTGATGGTGATGGTGGCGGTGATGGTGATGGTGGCGGTGACGGCAGAGATGGAGATGGAAGTGACAGAGGAGACGGCACCAGCAGCAACCTTCCGTACCTCGTCATGTTCCCCCCTACACTCCCCCACCCCCAAGGACACACACAGCCCGTGTGCGTGTGTGTGGGGGGCGGAGGCAGCCACGAGCAGGAGAGGTTGTATGTGAGGTTGTGGTGGGGGGGGGGGAGGGGGGGTGCTGCTTCACCACACGCACAGGGAGGGGGGTGGGGGATGGGGGGGAGGGGACTGTCCGTTGTGGGGTCACTGGGGAGGTGAGTCCACGAACAATAAGGGGAAGGTAGGATGGGGAGGGGTAGGGGAGGGGGAGAGGAGTGGGGGGAGGGGAGGGGAGTAGCGTGTGAATGGAGAGGTGTAGACTCACAGACCCTCACCACCCACCTCTCTCACACCTCACCATCCACCTCCCTCACACCTCACTATAGTCTTGGACCCCGCATGAAATATTCAGCGTTAAATCAAGTTTCAAATCAACACAAGTATATATCAAAACTTCATCAATTTTTACAAAGATACAAGTGACAGGATGAACAACCCAACGGGTTTTCTTCCTATTGGGGAGTGTTGTACATGCTGCTTTGGCTGTTGTTTAAGATTCGCTACTCGAACAAAATTCGCCAAGTAGCACGGGCTATGGTGAGCCCGTAGACCTGCTGCTTTGGCGGTGTGTCCACTCACAAGATGAGTGGCGCTGCCCAATACTGTCACTATGGCGGTGTGTCCACTCACAAGATGAGTGGCGCTGCCCAATACTGTCACTATGGCGGTGTGTCCACTCACAAGATGAGTGGCGCGGCCCAATAAACTCGCCCCTCGGGGCAAAATTTAAAAAAAAAAATATATACAAACACGTCGAATAGTTTGTTTGTGTGTATGTGGCAACACACACTCACGACTTCCTCATGATAGTGTCTTAACTTCCCGAGGAAGATCACGGATAATGTGGGACTTCAGCTCCCGGCCCGCGTCTCTAGCACTGCAACCTAGCCTCAGGCTAGGCACGTCCACCCGGCGTCCGTCCTCAAACTCGTAATTGTTAACGTTTTATGTAACAAAACATCCATATTTTTTCCTTGAATTTGAATTATAATTAATGCAATTATAATTTTGTGAATGGTTAGGATTAGGATAGGTTAGGTTAGGTTAGGTTAGGTTAGGTTAGGTTAGGTTAGGTTAGGTTAGGATAGGTTAGGTTAGGTTAGGTTAGGTTAGGTTAGGTTAGGTTAGGTTAGGATAGGTTAGGTTAGGTTAGGATTAGGATAGGTTAGGTTAGGTTAGGTTAGGTTAGGTTAGGTTAGGTTAGGTTAGGATAGGTTAGGTTAGGATAGGTTAGGTTAGGATAGGTTAGGTTAGGTTAGGTTAGGTTAGGCTACTTGAAGCGCTTTCTCCATTCGTTATACATTAACAGTCAAATAAACTGTTTATTTGACTGAATGAAAATAAACTTTGTTTATTTTCATTAAACGACTTAAAATTAGAAATATGATGTAATAATGGGCAGAAGATTTTTGTATAAAGATCATTTGTAACACCTTCTTCAGTGACTGACTCGCACATTAATGTGTGAGTGTTAGACAGCTGTTGCGGGCTGCTTCCTGAGGGAGGCGGGAGGGGAGTTGGAAGAAGAAATAGTAGTTAGTAACAGTTGATTGATTGACAGTTGAGAGGCGGGCCGAAAGAGCAGAGCTCAACCCCCGCACGAAGAATTAGGAAAATACATAAAACAGCTTCTTCAGTGACTCACTAAGAGGATTTTCAACAAATGTCGTCACTGTTTTCGTCACGATGCGCTCAGTGGTTCGTGATGTCATGGCATTAGTGACGTCATGTGAAGCTGTGACATCATCGGGTTTATCCGGAATAATGGAGAATGTTGAGAGAAAAAAAGAGAGAACGAGGGAGAGAGGATAGGGGGAGACAAGAAGATTAGGGAGGAAGGGGGAGAGAATGGGAGGGAAAGAGGGTGTGATAGGAGGAAATGGGATGTATATAAGGAGTGTAGGCTGTGAGGGAAGGGAGGGTTGACTGGGTGTAGGTTGTGGGAGAGTTGCTACTCCAAGCAAGCAAGCATCAACGACACTAACGCCAACATCAATGACATTATCGCCAGCTTCAGCGACATCATTGTAAATAATGACGTAGTTGTCATCATCGGGATGATGATGTTGTTGTGGTGTTGTCACTCTGCTTGTAGATGTTACAGCCGATGGCCCCCACAACTGTCCCAGCGACTGACACGTTTAGGCCCTCCTCTGATCTGCTGCTCCTGGCACCCCCTCCCCTCATCTTCCTCACCTCACACCTCACCACGCTCTTGTCTTTCCTGCTAAAACTAGTGACGTTTATGCTAAGGCTCTGTCTGTCTGTCTGTCTGTCTGTCTGTCTGTCTCACGGCGGTGAGTCTGGTGGATGGGACGGGGGGAAGGATTGAAGAGAGGGTTGAGGGGGGGGGGGTAATGGGGGAGGGGGGAGGGGGAGGGGGGAGGGGGAGGGGGGAGGGGGGAGGGGGGAGGGGGAGGGGGGAGGGGGGGGAGGGGGGAGGGGGAGGGGGGAGGGGGGAGGGGGGAGGGAGGGGAGACGGCGGCGGCTGGCTGATGTGATTCACATAACGAGGAACAGCCCAGCGCGCTTCCCCCGGGGGCTGAGGTCAATGGTCTTTAGAACGGAAGGAAATTCTTGGGTGCGCAGGAGCAAGAGTGGCCGCGTGGTGGGTACTGGCGGAGGTGAAGAGTTCAGGGATGTGTTTAGGGAGATGTGATATGTTTCTGGGTGTGGAGGGGGGGGAGGGGGGGGGCTGGACACCTGCAGGGTCACTGGCCAGCCTAAACTGGCGACGGGTGGACAGGCCGCTGTGGCTTACTAATGGCAGTATAGTCGGTGTTGTAACCTTGCTGCTTGGCCTCCAGGTGGGGCATCTGACTCATCTTAACTCTGTGTCTCTGTCTGTCTCGGTCTGTCTCACTGTCTTTGTCTTCCATTCCTTCCTCCCCGTCCGATCCCTAATCCTAATCCTGATCTCTTCCCAGGGTTATACAGTCGTAATGGCTTGACGCTTTCCCCTGATAGTTCCCTTCCCTTCTCTCTCTCTCTCTCTCTCTCTCTCTCTCTCTCTCTCTCTCTCTCTCTCTCTCTCTCTCTCTCTCTCTCTCTCTCTCTCTCTCTCTCTCCCTTTATCTATATCTTTGTTTCTTCGTGTGTCTGCCGGAAGAGGCTCAACTGAGGCTTGGTTGATTCTGTACACGATGCGCAGTGACAGCTATTTCTCCAAGCTAGAGAAGTGTGTCATAAACAGTGGTTCTCCAAGCTAGAGAAGTGTGTCATAATCTGTGGTTCTCCAAGCTAGAGAAGTGTGCCATAAACAGTGGTTCTCCAAGCTAGAGAAGTGTGTCATAAACAGTGGTTCTCCAAGCAAGAGAAGTGTGTCATAAACAGTGGTTCTCCAAGCAAGAGAAGTGTGTCATAATCTGTGGTTCTCCAAGCTAGAGAAGTGTGTCATAATCTGTGGTTCTCCAAGCTAGAGAAGTGTGTCATAAACTGTGGTTCTCCAAGCTAGAGAAGTGTGTCATAAACAGTGGTTCTCCAAGCAAGAGAAGTGTGTCATAAACAGTGGTTCTCCAAGCTAGAGAAGTGTGTCATAATCTGTGGTTCTCCAAGCTAGAGAAGTGTGTCATAAACTGTGGTTCTCCAAGCTAGAGAAGTGTGTCATAAACTGTGGTTCTCCAAGCTAGAGAAGTGTATCATAAACAGTGGTTCTCCAAGCAAGAGAAGTGTGTCATAATCTGTGGTTCTCCAAGCTAGAGAAGTGTGTCATAATCTGTGGTTCTCCAAGCTAGAGAAGTGTGTCATAATCTGTGGTTCTCCAAGCTAGAGAAGTGTGTCATAAACAGTGGTTCTCCAAGCAAGAGAAGTGTGTCATAAACTGTGGCTCTCCAAGCAAGAGAAGTGTGTCATAAACTGTGGTTCTCCAAGCTAGAGAAGTGTGTCATAAACTGTGGTTCTCCAAGCTAGAGAAGTGTGTCATAATCTGTGGTTCTCCAAGCTAGAGAAGTGTGTCATAACTGTGGTTCTCCAAGCAAGAGAAGTGTGTCATAAACAGTGGTTCTCCAAGCAAGAGAAGTGTGTCATAAACTGTGGTTCTCCAAGCAAGAAGAGTGTGTCATAAACTGTGGTTCTCCAAGCAAGAGAAGTGTGTCATAAACTGTGGTTCTCCAAGCTAGAGAAGTGTGTCATAAACAGTGGTTCTCCAAGCTAAAGAAGTGTGTCATAACTGTGGTTCTCCAAGCAAGAGAAGTGTGTCATAAACAGTGGTTCTCCAAGCTAGAGAAGTGTGTCATAACTGTGGTTCTCCAAGCTAGAGAAGTGTGTCATAAACACTGGTTCTCCAAGCAAGAGAAGTGTCATAAACAGTGGTTCTCCAAGCTAGAGAAGTGTGTCATAACTGTGGTTCTCCAAGCTAGAGAAGTGTGTCATAAACTGTGGTTCTCCAAGCAAGAGAAGTGTCATAATCTGTGGTTCTCCAAGCAAGAGAAGTGTCATAATCTGTGGTTCTCCAAGCAAGAGAAGTGTGTTATAAACAACGACACTAACGCCAACATCAACGACACTAACGCCAACATCAACGACACTAACGCCAACATCAGCGACACTAACGCCAACATCAGCGACACTAACGCCAACATCAACGATACTAACGCCAACATCAGCGACACTAACGCCAACATCAGCGACACTAACGCCAACATCAGCGACACTAACGCCAACATCAGCGACACTAACGCCAACATCAACGACACTAACGCCAACATCAGCGACACTAACGCCAACATCAGCGACACTAACGCCAACATCAACGACACTAACGCCAACATCAACGACACTAACGCCAACATCAGCGACACTAACGCCAACATCAGCGACACTAACGCCAACATCAGCGACACTAACGCCAACATCAACGACACTAACGCCAACATCAGCGACACTAACGCCAACATCAGCGACACTAACGCCAACATCAGCGACACTAACGCCAACATCAACGATACTAACGCCAACATCAGCGACACTAACGCCAACATCAGCGACACTAACGCCAACATCAACGATACTAACGCCAACATCAGCGACACTGACGCCAACATCAACGACACTAACGCCAACATCAGCGACACTGACGCCAACATCAGCGACACTAGCGCCAACATCAACGACACTAACGCCAACATCAGCGACACTGACGCCAACATCAGCGACACTAGCGCCAACATCAACGACACTAACGCTAACATCAGCGACACTGACGCCAACATCAACGACACTAACGCCAACATCTGTCGGAAAATCCGACACCATTTAATAATCATACAGATAATAACTGTATTACCAACAAGTTACCCATAGAAAACGTAACTTGTAGTGGAATTACCGTCTATAGAAAACGGGATATCATCACCACATACTATTATAATTCACCACCTATTATGGTGGGAATTATTCTTAAATACATTAGTCTTTGGACTTTACCATCATAAAAACATCTTATATAAATTAACTTAATTATTAATATTAAAGTAGAGTAAATGTGACCCTTCTATCACGTTCTGAAATCTGGACAATGTAAGCCAGGCGTCAGAGTGGAGGAAGGAGGGCAGCCATTGTTGTTTATTGAGACCAGAGGCTCACACGGGAGCAAATTCGGCTCCTGTTAAATTTACTTGGACGTAGTGTTATGGAAACTAAAAGTGTACCATTATCAACACGCTGTCTACAAATTCAAGTTAAGTGTCTATCCGAAACCCATTATCTATCATTAGTGGCCATTAATGTCATTGGGTAGGGTTATCCGGTTAGATCACATGGAAGCCTCAAACTAAAGGTAATTAAGCCAGGTCCTCATGTTCCATGTACTGTATACAGTTTTCTCTGAAATACTTGTCATATATAGGTTTCTGGCTTCACAGCTAGCGCACTTTTGACAGGTCAAGACGAGGATGCAAGATTATGTGCACCAGTTACTGGGTGATAGAAGCTACCTCAAAGAGGATAATTTGGTGTCTACACCCTAGTTATACCTGGTGGACTAACCTGCTGTACTATAAGAGAAGGAACCTCATCAATGTATGTAGCTATTAATGTAGTTTGATTGGCTGCATATATATTAATTTAATAAACCCCCCCTAATGTGTAGAGGATCGATTTGTGAGATTATGAGATTATTGCAGAAATACAGTCCACTTATTATACAAATTGCTATCGAAGTATATAAATTAACGTAAATATAAATTCATATAAATTAAATAAATATAAATCTCACAGGTCGGTTCCCACATTATTTGGTCCTTCGAACCGGATGACGGATTATTTGATCCTTTGAACCCACATTTGGTCATCTTAGTACCGGATGAGCCAGTTAACCAGTGGATTCATTAAATATACTAGTGCAGTGTTATTTAAACAAAGGCCAGCAGTCAAGACGGCAGCGTAGCCTCGAGGGAGCTCAGGAGCCTCCCTCAGCCCAGTTCAGCTTCGTCAGCGGTTTCATGCACACCCACAGATATTTGGTGGCGTGTTATTTCGTGAAATGACAGCGCTAATATAGAATCCAGCCAAATTAGTGACTGTGTCTTCGCGAGATTGTTCACGGATTTCGTGGTGTTACATTTCGCGAGAGATTATCTACGAATTTTGTGGACTTTATTTCGCGAGGTCACTAATAATATTTAATACTTCTAGATAATATTAGAAGTTTCATAGAGGCTAATTAAGAGGCTATTAACAATAATTGTGTATATTATTTCTCCAAAATAGAGAATTATTTAATATATTGCACTAGTGATCACAGTATAATATTTACTAATTGCCAACCCACAACAGGGTAGGATATTAACCATTGACTAGTTGAACTATTATCGTTCATCCTAGTCCCATTATTACCATAGTCAGTTGTACTATATTGATCAACCTAACACCATTAATGAATGGTCCAGACCCTATTTTGGGTGTAATTTTTATCAACTCGAGTTGAGTTGTATATATAATAAATTACTTATGATCATTACACCTTTGAGTGATTAATTAGTGTCTCTACCATCCTAGGGTGATATAGAAGAGCTAACCTAAAGGTACTTCCAGTGACACTGGTTTATCACTCAAATCATTAGTGTGTATGATTGTATATATATAATGTGTATTAATTTTAAGTGCTAACCTCTAGTAGAGGTAGGATTATTGCCTAGTGAGTGCAGAATTTACCCTAGGCTACCATTAGTACTTGCTCACAATTTATGAGCCAGTGGTGCCCAATTAACAAGTCACCATGACTAATCCACAGAAAGCAAAGCGTGCTTTAATATCAAGCAAACGCCAACTAACAAGAGATCTCAACCAATATGAACAGTTGTTATATGAGCCTGTAATTAATTATCGTCGGTTGAAAATACCACTGTTGCAGATTCAAACCCAATTGCATATATTGAAAGCAAATAGGAAATCTTACCAAAATCAGGTCCACGACGACGACGACATAGTAGTTGAAGATGTGGAACCATTCCTGTCTGACCTAGCACAATATGAAGAAGAAACTCAAGGCAGGTTGGAACATTTACACAGGATAATTGAATCAGAACAAATAGCAAGTACATCAAATAAAGTAGATAATGTTATGGATGATCTGGATCTTTTTGAGAATAAATGTAAAGCCAGATTAGATCCTTTAATCAACAAGGATAAAGCTTCACCCAGTAAAGCTTCACCCACTACAGCTTCACCCAATAATATACCACCAGAAATTAAGCAGTTTTCAGACAATTTATCCACAGTCTCTGTGGTTTCTGAAAACCCAATACCTGAAGCTACTAAGTTAACATGCCTCCAAACTAGAGGTGAAGCTGAACCAGTAGTAGAAAATGTAAATGAAAATAGCGACAGCACTAATTTCCCAGTCCAGCCTCCTAGGAATAATGCTGGCAATGAGAAAACTGTCATACATCTAGTACTACAATTGCTGGATTTACCTCAACCTGATCAGACTGCTGACTCATTACAATCCTTCAGCATGGAGTTTGAGTCACTACTAAGAACATTCAGACTTAAGGTTGATATAACTACTAGTGAATGGATGACCAAAGTAGTCCTTCAACGAAAATTGTCCAGCGATATACTAGATGAATTATATGCACATCAACATAACACCATCCTGACAGTACAGGACATCACTGAAGGTTTACATTCCATCATAAACAAACGACGAGCAAATGAGGAAGTTAAAGCCTCTTGCAAGCCTTCAGAAATAGAAAATAATAGTCAATTAAAGGGTAAAACAACCACCCCAAATAAACATCAACCAATTACTCAAACATCAAGTTGCAGAAAATCTGACAATGCAGCAGCAACCTCCAAGCCTACTGTTACTAGTTCACCCAAACCGGTAACTTCCAAACGTGCAGTAGGCTGGGGGACTTGTATGTTCTGCAAAAAGAAACATTCAACATACTGTTGTGCTAATTATCCAACCAGAGACACTCGTATGGAGCGACTCCAGGAATTAGGGAGATGTGCAAGGTGTCTCAAGTCACACAACATAGACTATTGTGATACCCAATTCAACACCTGCAACAGGTGTAGAAGAGGTAGGCACCATGCAGCACTGTGCAAATATACGAAATTAACGTATTCAAGACCCAAGGTGGAAGATAGCATTCCCACCACAGTACAGTACTGCAAGGTGCAACAAACAAAGAGTGTCCATTCGGCAAAGTCTAAAGGTAATACGACTTTGCCTACTGCCCAAATTACCATCCTGAATAAGAGGGCCAAGGTCCATACCCGTGGGTTGTTTGACCAAGGATCCCAGAGAACATATATCACCAAAAAGTTGGCAGATGAATTACAATTAAGGCCTGTAGCCCAGATGTCATTCAACATCTCAGGGTTTGTAACAGATGCAGGACCTCAAGTCTACCAGGTGGTACAACCATCAGTACGCTTAGGCAGGTACGTCTGTCGAGTACAAGCCATTGTGGTGGACAAAATACCAGTAGACCTACAAGTTCAAGGTCTGCGAGCAACAGCCAAATTCCTGAGAAATAGAGGAATAAAATTGGCAGATAATATTAAGTCTGATCACCTCACCGACTTCGGTCTCCTTGTAGGGACAGACTATTGTCATCGATTCATCGGTAGCCCTACTAAATATCAGGGTATAACCATGTTAAACTCTGCAGGAGGTAAATTACTCTCAGGCCCAGTATCAAGCCTGAGGAGACCTATGCCTGCAGATAAACAATACCAGTAGAAACCTAAATTTGTCAGCTGATTATATTTCTCCAGTAGCATTATACTAAGGAGATTACAGCTGACTATAGTAACAGAGGTTGATGTTAGTATCATCATTTAAAGCTGGAGATGAGTTCATGAGGCCTCAGTGGCAAATCAGTGAACAGTAGCCTAAAACAGCTACAAGTCACTGCGACCAATGTCACTGAACCCACTGCAGTCTCAGAACCATACTTTACTTTAATGATGAGCTATTCAATCTTCTGAATCAATTAACTAAATTAAACCCTAATAAATCTGATGACTGATTGATACATTTATTATTTAATCAAGATGTATTCCATGGGCCTCAGTGTTTATATATCAGTGACCAGTTACCTGAAGAAACTTCAAGTTATATCTAATGTCACTGATCTCACTGCAGTCCCTGAATCATACTTGACTGTAGTACTTGTTCACATCCAGTCTTCTGGGTTAAATAATATGTAATTAGGCTTGAATATTAGCCTTTCAAGAGTTGACAGGGAAATGAAATCGCATTAGACTTCTAACCCCTGCAACTCTAGTACGGGACATCCGTCCTGTACGAACAGACACACAAATGTGTGATTACTAACTACTAACATCAAATTAATCAAATAATTTGAAGGAGGAGTATCGGTGTTCGTCTGTTCTAATTAGGACTTCGACCCGTGAGCAGCCCCCTGGGGAATTATGTCGGAAAATCCGACACCATTTAATAATCATACAGATAATAACTGTATTACCAACAAGTTACCCATAGAAAACGTAACTTGTAGTGGAATTACCGTCTATAGAAAACGGGATATCATCACCACATACTATTATAATTCACCACCTATTATGGTGGGAATTATTCTTAAATACATTAGTCTTTGGACTTTACCATCATAAAAACATCTTATATAAATTAACTTAATTATTAATATTAAAGTAGAGTAAATGTGACCCTTCTATCACGTTCTGAAATCTGGACAATGTAAGCCAGGCGTCAGAGTGGAGGAAGGAGGGCAGCCATTGTTGTTTATTGAGACCAGAGGCTCACACGGGAGCAAATTCGGCTCCTGTTAAATTTACTTGGACGTAGTGTTATGGAAACTAAAAGTGTACCATTATCAACACGCTGTCTACAAATTCAAGTTAAGTGTCTATCCGAAACCCATTATCTATCATTAGTGGCCATTAATGTCATTGGGTAGGGTTATCCGGTTAGATCACATGGAAGCCTCAAACTAAAGGTAATTAAGCCAGGTCCTCATGTTCCATGTACTGTATACAGTTTTCTCTGAAATACTTGTCATATATAGGTTTCTGGCTTCACAGCTAGCGCACTTTTGACAGGTCAAGACGAGGATGCAAGATTATGTGCACCAGTTACTGGGTGATAGAAGCTACCTCAAAGAGGATAATTTGGTGTCTACACCCTAGTTATACCTGGTGGACTAACCTGCTGTACTATAAGAGAAGGAACCTCATCAATGTATGTAGCTATTAATGTAGTTTGATTGGCTGCATATATATTAATTTAATAAACCCCCCCTAATGTGTAGAGGATCGATTTGTGAGATTATGAGATTATTGCAGAAATACAGTCCACTTATTATACAAATTGCTATCGAAGTATATAAATTAACGTAAATATAAATTCATATAAATTAAATAAATATAAATCTCACAGGTCGGTTCCCACAACATCAGCGACACTGACGCCAACATCAGCGACACTAGCGCCAACATCAACGACACTAACGCCAACATCAGCGACACTAACGCCAACATCAACGACACTAACGCCAACATCAGCGACACTGACGCCAACATCAGCGACACTAGCGCCAACATCAACGACACTAGCGCCAACATCAGCGACACTAGCGCCAACATCAGCGACACTAACGCCAACATCAACGACACTAACGCCAACATCAGCGACACTAACGCCAACATCAACGACACTAGCGCCAACATCAGCGACACTAGCGGCTGCGGGAACAACTAGAGCCAAAGGGTTGGAGGAGAGGAGCCGTGGTGGAGGGTGAGGGCTGAGCTCTGCATGTAGTGTGTTTAAGTCAGGACGCAAACACTACACTGTTGCTTCAGGCGGCCTCGGAGGTGTCCACGAGGGTGAGGCTAGGGGGGAGGGAGCAGGTGAGTGGGGTGGGAGGAACGGGGGGACGGGGTGTAAGGTTCCTGAGGGGGCGCTACCCTATGGGTGCAGATTCTGGTCCAAATCTACTGCCCTCCCCCTGTTCCACACTGCACTGGAGCACTGACTTCTGATCGTGGACGCTACGTACACTATTTTTTCTGACTGTGTGTGTGTGTACTCACCTATATGTACTCACCTATATGTGCGTGTGTGTGTGTGTGTCTGTGTATACTCACCTAGTTGTGCGGTTGAGCTCTGGCTCTTTGGTCCCGCTTCTCAACTGTCAATCAACTGGTGTACAGGTTTCCGAGCCTATTGGGCTCTTATCATATTTACATTTGAAACTGTGTATGGAATCTGCCTCCACCATATCACTGCCTAATGCATTCCATTTGTTAAATACTTTAACACTGAAAAATTCTTTCTACTGTCTATGTGACTCAGTTTATCTTTGTCCACCCTGTTAATTCCACTGAGAATTTTGTAGGCAATGATCATGTCTCCCATAACTGTTCCACTACCTTCCCTAACATGTTCTCTACGAAGGCCTGGTGAGAGACCGGACCGCGGGGACGTTAATCCCTGAAATCAACGCAAGGTAAGAGGTAAATTTTCTGTCTTCCAGGGAGGTGAGGTTTAATTCCAGCAGCCTTTTCTCGTAACCCGTACCTCTCAGCTTTCTATCTCTCAGCAGATAGTCAGTCTGTCTGTCTGTCTCACGACAGTTAAGAAAGTACATTTTGCATTAACCTTGAAACATCAAGTGGGTATTAAAGTCCAGTTTAATCCAGAGCTTCACAATTTCATACGAGAAAGTGGTAGGAAACTGAGAGTAGTGTTTGTACCTGATGCCCAAAATTGAAGGCCGAGCATCAAGAGACAGTCTTCTCTACTCGCGAGCAGCTTCAGGGACGAACACGCTACAAAAACTTACTCTACAATGACTGCACAAGGTCAATTCCACACACTCTTGTTCCACATTTTACTTAATTCAGTCATCTGCCTATTATCCCATGCGAAAAAAGCACATCTTTATGACCAACCACACACACACTCATATTAAGTGCATATATATATATATATATATATATATATATATATATATATATATATATATATATATATATATATATATATATATATATATATATATATATATATATATATATATATATATATATATATATATATATATATATATATATATATATATATATATATATATATATATATATATATATACTGTGGCCCACTGACTGCCTGGGCCACACTCAACTGAAGAGTCAGCCTCCCACTAACAAAGATCTCAAATACGTTTTAAGAATTATCATATATGTACTATTACATACAGGAAAAACTCTCCACTCCCAGGACATTATTGAGAACGTACTGTGAATAATATATAAAATGAGATACCACCTTTAACACGCCTCACTGTAACTGTTAACTAGCGAGAATAAAGTAAGAAGCAGTGATAAATTCTTACACCAAAATCTAAGACCTCCTCAGTGGAAGTTAATTAATATTGTAAATCAATATCAGTTACAAATATATTTACAGACTTCCTTGGGACTCAGAATAAGCAGATAACGCGGCAGGAATCTTACGAAGAATCAGCAGTACGAAACTTAACATCAATCATACGTTTTCCTCTGAACTCTTGCTTCCCGTAGCGGTCTCCCTTTCTTGCTGCCGCCTGTAAACTCGCTTGCTGTAAGGTCTTTCTTGCTTACCGCCTGCAAACCGTAAGGTCACGAACGGGAAAAACACTGACACGCTCCCATTAATAAAGGATAACACCCCAGGGCGTTCTGGCCATCGACAAAGTGCCACTCCCACACGCATGTAGACATCGAGCTTCCATGTAAGCTTAGAATCCTGCAGCTGTGGTCATGGTCTGTTGGTACTGACACCAACAACCTGGCAGGTCACGCTCCCAGAGAACAAGTGGTCGTAAGGCGCACACCGGCCGGCTTTCTTCCCACACAACAGCTATTTCCTTAACTAAGAAGTGACGTCTTATCTGTCTTCCAAGCGGCTAAGGCAACCTCAGGTCTCCGCTCTTCTCGGATGTCATTAATGGTCTAATTCTCTTGGAAACTGAGCCCTTGAAGCCTGGGATTAACCAAGGTGGCTCCTGGTGGCCCCTGGTGGCTCCCTGGTGGCCCCTAGTGTCCCCTGGTGTCGCCTAGTATCTCTAGGAATCGTCATCACTCAAAAATAAGTTTCTCGTTGGTTCATGGAGGTGACGTCATTGTTCGTCCTACGATTAGGCCAATCACTCGGCCATATTTGTTCAGTGTACTCTATCCTCTTCATTTATCAATTCATATAATCAGCTGCAGAAAAATATGAAACAATGCTAAATTTGTTTGCCGTGTTGATTCCATAATATTATTGTTTAATAAAATAGTCATCAACCAATTCCTAAATTGTTTTTACTCATTATTCGAAGTTTTAATTGTACAGTTTATTTTACTAAAGTTCCGTGTTCTACATTCACCATGTTTTTGTGATTGTAATAATATCCATTGTTTGTGCACACAAGTGCACTTAACTCTGTTTTATTGAATAAATCTGTTATATGTGTGATATATGTTAAGACGCTATGTTAGTGCTTGTGTCCCTCTTCACTTCTTCAGTCATCTCCAAAAATCTTATTAAATATCCCCCAAAGATTTCTTATTTTCCCCGTAACATTTTTCCTCCATTTATCTGGCGTTGTTCTCATGTTTACAGCTGTAGCCTATTATACATCGACACCATTAACTTCTAGCAGCTGAAATGCTGACAAATGTCGGCCTCACCTGACCCGCTGAAGCTGCCGGCCCCCGCCAGAGACACAACGGGTAGCTTACACACCGCTCCACTCACACGCCCGTAAGGAAAAAATAAACAAGTAGGAAATCATTAAACGTACTGAGGAACAAGGAAAATTTTCTTCATTCTTAATAGAAATGTAAGATACTGGCTGCAGCGAGACTGGTCTCGAAGTCGATGGTTCCCAACGAGATATAACTAAGCAGCAGATTCACTATCTATCTGACTCTCGTCTTCGGTCATTTACTCTACTTCAGTACTCCAATAAAGTCATTACTACTCAAATGACAAAGGAACTAGACAAACAAGGCCTTGTTACCAACAGTTCCTGAGAGCAGATTACGTCACATAATCGCAAAGATAGAAAAAAAAATTACGTTCTGTTTATCTCCAAAATGCTCGTTCGAGTTCTTCAATCTGTGTGTGTCACGTGTGTGGATGCCCTCGGGGTCATCAGGGTGCTATCCTCTCCAGGTGCGCAAGGTCGCTTTTCAACTCAATGAATTTAGTCAATCTAAACCTTGCTACGTGAGGCCGGTTGAGTCGCTGCGGCTGTGTCCTGGCGGCCTTTGTTAGAGCACAAGGATGCGTTATTAAGAGTGATGGCAACGTTGCCAGTGGTCGCGTTGTTGCTAGAGTACGACCAGGAAAACAAGGTGGTTCATCTCGCATAGCAGTAACTTTAGGTGACATAATTTGCATATATTATTTTTGCTACGTAACAGCAACATGGAGACAACATTTGTATTTTCCTTTTGCATGTGTTAAATTTGCATCAGAGATAAGTGTACATTTGTGGAAATATTACTCTTAAAATATGTATTAATAGGCTAGATATGGAGGGAAGCTGACCTGATGTTGATGGTTCTTCTGGACCTCCTCCTCCCAGGGTGGGTAGATCAGTGAGGTCTCCTATGGTCCCCTTCATGGTAGGGAAGAGCGTGGGCCTACCAACGGACCTCCCCATGGGAGGAAGGGTAAGGGTTCTACCACCAACGGACTTCCCTTCTTTCTTGGTAGGGATATAAGATGTATGGGGGTCTACCAACAGACCCCCTTCATGGTAGGGAGGGGGGGATCCAAACTGACATACCCCTATGGTTGGGAGGGAGTTTGTCGACTGACAACCCATGGTAGGTACGGGAGTTCGCCAACTGACCCCCATCATGGTAGGGATGGGGGGGTCACCAACTGACCCCCACCATGGTAGGGATGGGGGGGGGGTCACCAACTTGCCACCCCCCCCCCAACCCCCCACCCCGGGCACCAGGTACCAGGGTCATTTAACCTGCCGTCTACGGCACCACCACCACCGGCGGCGCTTGGTTTGTTGGGTATATTTGAGACCTTTTGTCGATTGCTGGGATTTTTTCTTCTCTTCAGGCTTAGATACGCTCACGTGCGCTCTCTCAGCCAAGACACGTGCAAGCATGCACGCACACACGCACGCTCGCCTCCTCCATGTACACATGGACATAATGTTGTGCACACACAAACCAGCAAAACAGCGCCGTTTCACTTTCAAGGAACGTACATAATGCCTTCGCACAGTCAACAAGGCATGTGTGTGTAAAACGTTTACCCTTAGAAGAGAAAATTTAGTTTTTTCTTGAAAGTGATGAAGTGAGGACATGACTCATCTCCCAGCTGATGAAGATAGGAGGACATGACTCATCTCCCAGCTGATGAAGAGAGGAGGACATGACTCATCTCCCAGCTGATGAAGAGAGGAGGACATGACTCATCTCCCAGCTGAGGAAGAGAGGAGGACATGACTCATATCCCAGCTGAGGAAGAGAGGAGGACATGACTCTCATCATTGTAGCTGTGTGAGAACACCTGCCTCAGCCCCCAGTATCACACACCTTGTACGAGCGAAGTAGTTGCCTGTGCGTGAGTTCGTACGTGTGTGAGAGCGCGCGCCCGCTGTGTTAGTGACCGAGTGACTAGTCTGCTGGAGGTGGGGGTTGAGGTGGGGGGTGATGATGGAGGAACGTGGGCTTGGAGGGTATAAGGCGAGAGAGAAGGGGGGGGAGGAGGGGTTCTGGAAGGCGTGGGTCGGAATAGGGAGGAGGGGGTCAATCGGCGTGGTGTGTAGTGGGCGATAGTATATACATGGGTGGGGAGTGGGTGTCCTTGGGGTAGGGGTGTGACGAGAAACGAGGGGGTCAGGGAGTAAGAACCAAGGGGGGGGGAATGGGTTCTATAGGTGGGAGTAGGAGTCAGTGGGTGCCACCCCGTACCACCTTCTGGGGAGGACCATGACAACATACAGCTGGCGATGATGAGTGACCTTTTTTCCCAGACTGCCCTGAGAGACGGGTAGCGGGTCGCTGCTGTGAGGTGTTTTGACCGCCGCCAAGTAGCGGTGATGTTGGCACCGGGCCAGACGCCGCCGCCGATTCCCGCGGATTTCAAACCTAGCACAGGAGGTGTGTGTGATGGCGGGGGTGACCTTTAGGCGCCAGCACCGCACTCTCCCGCCGGAAATGGGGCTGGAGTTTGTGCTGAGCATTGTCCAAGTCACAAGTGCTTCCTGTCCTGGTCGCAGCACTCTCACTGGAGACGCCGCGCCCCCTTAACCCTCCACCTCTCCCACTCCACCAAACCCCCAGAGAAAACGGCGCGCGTCTCTCCTGGCGCGCCAGTCTACCCGTGGCTGCCGACTGTGTTGGTAGTGACTGACACGCTCACCTGCTGGTGACTCTCGCTCCACCAGGCGCTATAGTGACCACCCTCACCAGTCTCACCAACACCACGCCGGTAACACTCATCACGCCACCGATAAACAACAGTATTTCGAGCGGTCTCCAAGCAAAACCGCCACCATGCATAACCTAGACGCAACGGGCACCACGATAGTCATCACCATCCTCCTAGAGGGCACGTAACACTATCACCTGCTCACTATCACCATGCCCAGTAGCATCTTCATCACTACATAGTTTGCGTCTCTTCAATTTTTCTGCTGCATCCGCGCACCCAACCACCCCACGCAAGCAGAGACAAGACCACCAGGACCCGTCCTGGAAACCTCTCATCTTCGTTTCGTCCGCTCCCAACATCATCACATTCCAAGTCAGTTTCATCTAGATCCTCATCCCGCTTATACTTGACGCAGACCTTTATCCCCCCCTTATACTTGACGCTTAAGCAAGGCCCATTTTACCTCTCAGAACTCACTCAAAGTTGAGCCAGAATAACAGCTGAGACACGACCCCAAGACACACGTGGGGGGAAAGAAGAAGGTGACCTATCTTGTCTTACCGCTGGAGGCAGCTGCTAGCGACGCATCTGAAGTTGGCTGATCACTCGGGCGTGAGTCCTTCAGTCGCCCTTCACAATGTGCGGGGAAGTAGACGTGTGGAGGATCAAGACGGTGGTGGTGGGCGTGCTGGTCGTCGCCGCGGCGTCAACAGGTAGGTTCCACTCCCCTGGCCACAACACGAATATAATTTTCCTTGAACTTATTTACAATTTTCTTGTCACAAGGGATTACATTTAACAACTGGTATCAACGATTTGTTTTGACATTTTTTGTGGCAGGTTCGGTAGCTTGGAATGAATTAGGTCTAACACTGCTAAAATGTTGTATTGTGTAAGTGAGGGGTCTCCCAGCAGTGATGGGGCGAACATGTTCAGCTAAATAGGCGTACAGAGTATAATTGTTAACGAAGGGGACCTGAAATAGAGCCGACATGCACAAATAAGAACAACCTTGCATGTTCTAAACCAGGTCATGATCAAATTTTGGTCTACGTTTAAGCTGAGGGCAGCAGAATGCATTAATTTTGAAATAGCCTTTTGTTAACAAAGACGGGTTAGAGTTTGCCTTACTGAAAACAGGGCAGGTTCTCTTGTAAGCAAAACAGAGGCCAGGATTTATGTAAGGAAAGGTGTGGGCTCAAACAATCCACCAATAACACGTGGACTACAGCTCCTAGTTGACAGGTTACACTGTCAACTAGGGAGTTACTAACACTTTACTCCACTGAAAACCGTCGAACTAAGATACAAGTCAGTATATTCCGACATATCACAGTGCAGCATAATACTGTATATGACACCTCCTCTCATATTTGGGAGCAATTGTATAAATTATGACATAATTATTAAACAACGACATTACTGTATATGAAGGCATATGTCTCTAAGACTGACTTGTCTAATGACGAATATCTCCAGTTGAGTGTTTAACTAAAAATTACTCGATAAGATAACAAAAGGTGGCTGTAACAGTTAATTAGGACACAGTGCTATACATCAGAGATCACCAGGATTCGGGAGAAAATGATATATATTCGATAACATTGTAAACTAGAAATTTAACCCTTACACATTAGAGAATTAATATAAATTAATGCATTAAATAAGATCGTTTCTGATAAATTACGTTGGATTACGTTACTAACTTTTTGATAAAATGCTTACATTATAAAATTAGACCTATAACTGCGAATAGACCTAATAATAGATCTATAGATCTAATAGATCTATAGGCTATTACTGTAAATAAAAGCATGTCTGTAAATGAAGGCAGAAATGCAAATCAGAATACAAAATAACAGTATACTAGATGTAGGTCCACACCCACGCAAACGTCATCTTTAGAGGCAGCATCACACCCACGCAAACGTCATCTTTAGAGGCAGCATCACACCCACGCAAACGTCATCTTTAGACGCATCATCACACCCACGCAAACGTCATCTTTAGACGCATCATCACACCCACGCAAACGTCATCTTTAGAGACATCATCACACCCACACAAACGTCGTCTTTAGAGACATCATCACACCCACACAAACGTCGTCTTTAGAGGCATCATCACACCCACACAAACGTCACCTTTAGAGGCATCATCACACCCACACAAACGTCATCTTTAGAGGCATCATCACACCCACACAAACGTCACCTTTAGAGACATCATCACACCCACACAAACGTCATTTTTAGAGGCATCATCACACCCACACAAACGTCACCTTTAGAGACATCATCACACCCACACAAACGTCATCTTTAGACGCATCATCACACCCACACAAACGTCATCTTTAGACGCATCTTTTTGACAAAACTGAGAAGTGTTTATTATTAGTACTGAAGCACGTACCTTATTATTCAATATAGTTTAATGAAAACCAGTTTTTGCAGTAAAGTAGATAATAACAACGAAACATTATTAATAAACAAAATTGAATAAAAATGAACTAACAAGCGTTCGAGACGGCTCAGAAGGGGACGGTGAATGAGACGCAAGATAGACAGGGGGCACCGTAAACCCCTATGATAGACAGGGGCACCGTGAACCCCTATGATAGACAGGGGCACCATGAACCCCTACGATTGACAGGAGCACCATGAACCCCTGGGATAGACCACGATACCATGAACCTCATGACACAGAATATATAGCCTAATAATTGTATACATATTTGAACATGACTTGTTAGCTAATTATTGAGTCGGTTGTTTGCGTTCATTTTTAACTGACACTGGCGTATATCTGTCAGTGGTTCACAGAAAGAGTAACGCAATTTAATGTTTTTTGGTCGTAGCGTCTTCAGAGAGCCAAGGCTGAGGAGGTCACGATTTCGCTCGCCTGTTTCAGTCCTGGCCTGCCTTCTCGAGCCCTCCCCACACCTGCCCTGCCTACACCTGCCCTGCCCACACCTGTCCTCCCCTCTTCCTGTCCTGCTCTCCCCTACCCTGGTCAAACAATGGTCTTATACAATTATTATTTCTTTTGTATGAAGCCGTTAACGCTCGGAATTATTCAGATAAATCTTAAAAAGATCAAATGGTCAAATCCTACACTTAACTTCTACATGATAATCTATATAATGTCGAGTTCACTTACAGAGATCACACTAACGTGATGCATCAAATGAACAAATCCACAAGGGCCGTGACGAGGATTCGAACCTGCGTCCGGGAGCATCCCAGACATCTCAGTCGATTATCACTCAGCATCTTATTCTCAGTCGATTAAGGCAGTGTCTGGGATGCTCCCGGACGCAGGTTCGAATCCTCGTCACGGCCCTTGTGGATTTGTTCTAATGTCGAGTTACTTAGAGTTAGGAAAGTGGCTGGAGGTAATTTAAGAGTTTTGACAGTTTATCTTTAGTTTATCATTAACAGATATGTAACTTCAAATACCTATTTGAAGTGTTTTGAATATTTATCCAAATAAATATTCGTGGTCCCTATTATCTAATATCTATGGTCCCTATTATCTATTATCTATGGTCCCTATTATCCCTATTCGTAATTCTAAGCTCTGTTTAGAATTATATTATTTCGTTAGTATTTAGGATATTGGCAGATGTGAGCTACAGTTAATTAGAGCGTTAATGATAGGTTTTGACAAGCAGACGACTTCCTGTCACCGTGGAGACCACTAGAGTGTAAGTGGCCCTCAGGTAAATTCAGGTAAATATCTTAGGTTATAAGTAATGAGTTGAAATAGGCAAAATTGTTACAATCGTAGAGTGTCTGTAGTACTGTCAATAAGAACAAACACGTCTGTCTTAATTAGCATAAAGACTCTAAGTGAGATATATTACTTGGTGTTGTAGATATTTAGACAACTATGATGATTACTTACGTACTTGTTGGCTACCTTTTAAATTGGTTGCAAATGCGGCATATTATTGCATCTGGGAGGCGATTCCATAATTTTTGTATCCTTTATTTCTATAGAATTTGTGCTTTGGTTCAGTCGTATTGATGGAACATCAAATAGTGTGAGGCGTCTAAGGATTCTGTTTCTGCTCTCTAAGAAGCGTTTGAGGTCATGGTTCGTATTGCTCTTGGGAGTCCTTAAGGTACGATCACACCTGAGAATGACTAGTACTTTTATGTTCAGTTTGCATATTGTCTGGAGATAGAGTGTGCTCTTGTTCTACTTGATGATGTATTTCAGTAATCGTGTGTTTGAGGCAGTCTTGAATAGTAGATACCCAGGCGTAGGTACCGTAGGTCAGATATGTCATCTCCTGCACTCTCTTGTTGCACCTTAATCTCTCTTCCTATGTCATATCCTGTTCTGGCTTGTCTGTCACTTTGTATTCCTGTCTCACCCTTTACCAGCCTCTGCTACCCTGCCCTGCCTGACCCCTGTTACGCCCAGTCTCCCAGTGCCTTAACCTATCTTGACCTTACCTGTCTTACCTGCTTATCAATTGTTACGACCTGTCTAGATTGTCGTGACCCGTCCTGTACTGTTCACCCTTGGCCTTGCTTGCCCTACCTTGTGGCCTGTCAAGATCCTGCTGTGGCATTAGGCAGTCCCCCCCCTTGGGGGTCTTATCCTTCTCAACAGTTGTGCACAACCAACAAACACTCTCAGGCCCGATCCTACCTCCTACTGGAGGTCATTTGTGGACGGACACCCAGAAAAATTGTGGTCCAAGTGGCGAGCCTTGCGGGATTCCGCTTGTCACTTCTCTCCATTATGATGCTCTCTCTCTCTCTCTCTCTCTCTCTCTCTCTCTCTCTCTCTCTCTCTCTCTCTCTCTCTCTCTCTCTCCCCCCCTCTCTCTCTCTCTCTCTCCCCCCCCTCTCTCCCCCGTCTCTCTCTCTCTCCTCTCTCTCACACACACACTACAACCCTCCGTATCCTATTTCTGGGAAAGATATTAATTCAGTTCATTACCTTTAATGTTACCTCCGGCCCTTTCATGCAGTGTGTGTATTCACCTAGTTGTGCTTGCGGGGGCTGAGCTCTGCTCTTTCGGCTCGCCTCTCAACTGTCAATCAAATAATGTACAGGTTCCTGAACCTATTGGGCTCTATCATATCTACACTTGAAGCTGTGTATGGAGTAAGCCTGCATCACATCACTTCCTAATGCATTCCATTTTTCTACTACTCTGACACTGAAAAAACTTTCTAACGTTTCTATGGCTCATTTGGGCAATCAATTTCCACCTGTGTCCCCTAGTGCGTGTGCCCCTTGTGTTAAATAGTCTGTCTTTATTTACCCTATCAATTCCGCTGAGAGTCTTGTATGTGGTGATCATGTCCCCTCTAACTCTTCTGTCTCCCAGTGATATGAGGTTTAATTCCCGTAGTCTCTCCTCGTAGCTCATACCCCTCAGTTCGGGTACTAGTCTGGTGGCGAACCTTTGAACCTTTTCCAGATTAGCCTTATGCTTGACTAGATATGGACTCCATGCTGGAGCCACATACTCCAGGATTGGTCTGACATATGTGGTATACAAAGTTCTGAAAGATTCCTTACACAAGTTTCTAAAGGCCGTTCTTATGTTAGTCAACCTGGCAAATGCCGCTGATGTTATCCTCTTGATATGGGCTTCAGGGGACAGGTCTGGCGTGATATCAACCCCCAAGTCTTTCTCTCTCTCTGACTCTTGAAGAATTTCATCTCCCAAATGATACCTTGTATC